ATATCCTTGAAACTGGTTAAATTCTTAAACAGCTGAAATCCTTGAAACTACTGAATGTATTGAAAGTGTCCTTGAAACTGAAAAATCCCCTCACCGCTGAAACAATTTGGTTCCTGTAACTAAGGAAACCTGGTCTGTGGTCATTATCTGGTGGTGGTCTGAGTCTTCGTTTGGGTCTTGGTCTGGTGGTATAATGCAACCTATTAGGTTGCATTATACATGAAAAAACCCTATTAAGTTGCATTATACTGGTTTACATGAAAAAAACCCTTTTAAGTTGCATTATACTGGTTTACATGAAAAAAACCCTATTAAGTTGCATTATACTGGTTTACATGGAAAAATCCCTATTAAGTTGCATAATACTGGTTTACATGGAAAAATCCCCATTAAGTTGCATTATACTGGTTTACATGAAAAAAACCCTATTAAGTTGCATTATACTGGTTTACATGGAAAATCCCTATTAAGTTGCATTGTACTGGTTTACATGGAAAAATCCCTATTAAGTTGCATTATACTGGTTTACATGAAAAAAACCCTATTAAGTTGCATTATACTGGTTTACATGTAAAAACCCCTATTAAGTTGCATTATACTGGTTTACATGGAAAAATCCCTATTAAGTTGCATTATACTGGTTTACATGGAAAAATCCCTATTAAGTTGCATTATACTGGTTTACATGGAAAAATCCCTATTAAGTTGCATTATACTGGTTTACATGGAAAAATCCACATTAAGTTGCATTATACTGGTTTACATGAAAAAAACCCTATTAAGTTGCATTATACTGGTTTACATGAAAAAAACCCTATTAAGTTGCATTATACTGGTTTACATGGAAAAATCCCTATTAAGTTGCATTGTACTGGTTTACATGGAAAAACCCCTATTAAGTTCCATTATACTGGTTTACATGTAAAAAAAAAACCCTATTAAGTTGCATTATACTGGTTTACATGGAAAAATCCCCATTAAGTTGCATTATACTGGTTTACATGAAAAAAAAACCCTATTAAGTTGCATTATACTGGTTTACATGAAAAAAACCCTATTAAGTTGCATTATACTGGTTTACATGGAAAAATCCCTATTAAGTTGCATAATACTGGTTTACATGGAAAAATCTCCATTAAGTTGCATTATACTGGTTTACATGAAAAAAACCCTATTAAGTTGCATTATACTGGTTTACATGGAAAAATCCCTATTAAGTTGCATTGTACTGGTTTACATGGAAAAATCCCTATTAAGTTGCATTATACTGGTTTACATGAAAAAAACCCTATTAAGTTGCATTATACTGGTTTACATGTAAAAACCCCTATTAAGTTGCATTATACTGGTTTACATGGAAAAATCCCTATTAAGTTGCATTATACTGGTTTACATGGAAAAATCCCTATTAAGTTGCATTATACTGGTTTACATGGAAAAATCCCTATTAAGTTGCATTATACTGGTTTACATGGAAAAATCCCTATTAAGTTGCATTATACTGGTTTACATGGAAAAATCCCTATTAAGTTGCATTATACTGGTTTACATGGAAAAATCCCTATTAGGTTGCATTATACTGGTTTACATGTACAAATCCCTATTAAGTTGCTTTATACTGGTTTACATGTAAAAACCCCTATTAGGTTACATTATAGTGGTTTACATGTAAAAATCCTTATTAAGTTGCATTATACTGGTTTACATGTAAAAACCCCTATTAAGTTCCATTATACTGGTTTACATGTAAAAACCCCTATTAAGTTCCATTATACTGGTTTACATGTAAAAACCCTATTAAGTTGCATTATACTGGTTTACATGAAAAAAACCCTATTAAGTTGCATTATACTGGTTTACATGGAAAAATCCCTATTAAGTTGCATAATACTGGTTTACATGGAAAAATCCCCATTAAGTTGCATTATACTGGTTTACATGGAAAAATCCCTATTAAGTTGCATTATACTGGTTTACATGGAAAAATCCCTATTAAGTTGCATAATACTGGTTTACATGGAAAAATCCCCATTAAGTTGCATTATACTGGTTTACATGGAAAAATCCCCATTAAGTTGCATTATACTGGTTTACATGGAAAAATACCTATTAAGTTGCATTGTACTGGTTTACATGGAAAAAACCCTATTAAGTTGCATTATACTGGTTTACATGGAAAAAACCCTATTAAGTTGCATTATACTGGTTTACATGTAAAAACCCCTATTAAGTTGCATTATACTGGTTTACATGGAAAAATCCCCATTAAGTTGCATTATACTGGTTTACATGAAAAAAAACCCTATTAAGTTGCATTATACTGGTTTACATGAAAAAACCCTATTAAGTTGCATTATACTGGTTTACATGGAAAAATCCCTATTAAGTTGCATTGTACTGGTTTACATGGAAAAATCCCTATTAAGTTGCATTGTACTGGTTTACATGGAAAAAACCCTATTAAGTTGCATTATACTGGTTTACATGAAAAAAACCCTATTAAGTTGCATTATACTGGTTTACATGGAAAAATCCCTATTAAGTTGCATTATACTGGTTTACATGAAAAAAACCCTATTAAGTTGCATTATACTGGTTTACATGGAAAAATCCCTATTAAGTTGCATTGTACTGGTTTACATGGAAAAACCCCTATTAAGTTCCATTATACTGGTTTACATGTAAAAAAAAAACCCTATTAAGTTGCATTATACTGGTTTACATGGAAAAATCCCTATTAGGTTGCATGATTACACTGAAGTCCTTGAAACTGCTGAAGTCCTTGAAACTGCTGAAGTCCTTGAAACTGCTGAAGTCCTTGAAACTGTTGAAGTCCTTGAAACTCTTGAAATCTTGAAACTGCTGAAATCCTTGAAACTGTTGAATCCTTGAAACTGTTGAATCATTGAAACTGTAGAAATGTCTGAAAGAGCTGAAGTCCTATTAAAATGCATGGGCCTATTAAAATGCATTGCAGAATTCTCAATGCAGATTTTTGTCCGATTGCGGAAAAACCGGAAATCGCTGAAGTCCCAAAAGTAATAGCAATAATCTCCCAAACATGTGGAACGTTTTGATGTATAACTTGTGGAAATTGTTGAAAATGTGAAAGCTGTGAAACGTGTCAAAAAAAATGACGGAATAAAGAAATACAAAACCAATGGTTGACTGCGGAAGGTTCCGCAGTCAATCAATAATACATTTTTTCGTATTGCACCTTACATTTCCACGGAACCTCAAAGTGCTATAGATGAACATACAACACAGCAAATATATTTATCTAAAGCTCCAATTCACAACAAATAATCAGGGAATGTGTGTGATAAGAAGATCTATAAAAAAATAAATAAAAAAGGTGCATTTTCAGATGTTCAGATTGCAGTGTTGTGATTGGTCCATGGATTGATAACAACATTAATTCTTGTGTAAAACGTGTCAAAAGTATCATTGAGAATTGTTGCACGGTTTCTCTTTCTGACCTGCAGCAGGACTCAAACAAGAAACATAATCAAAGCGTTTTGGTCTGAATGAGTTCTACATGGTCTCTCTCTCTCTCTCTCTGTCTCTCTCTCTCTCTCTCTCTGTCTCTCTCTCTCTCTCTCTTAATGAGCTCTCTCTCTCTTAATGAGCTCTCTCTCTCTTAATGAGCTCTCTCTCTCTTAATGAGCTCTCTCTCTCTCTCTCGCTCTCGCTCTCTCTCTCTGAATGAGCTCTCTCTCTCTCTCGCTCTCTCTCTCTGAATGAGCTCTCTCTCTCTCTCTCGCTCTCTCTCTCTGAATGAGCTCTCTCTCTCTCTCTCGCTCTCGCTCTCGCTCTCTCTCTCTCTGAATGAGCTCTCTCTCTCTCTCTCGCCCTCGCTCTCGCTCTCTCTCTCTCTGAATGAGCTCTCTCTCTCTCGCTCTCTCTCTCTCTCTCGCCCTCGCTTTCGCTCTCTCTCTCTCTCTCTGAATGAGCTCTCTCTCTCTCTCTCTCTCTCTCTCTCTCTCTCTCCCTGAATGAGCTCTCTCTCTCTCTCTCTCTCTCTCTCTCTCTCTCTCTCTCTCTCTTTCTGTCTGTCTCTGGTCTCTCTCTCTCTCTCTCTCTCTCTCTCTCTCTCTCGCTCTCTCTCTCTCTCTCTGAATGAGTTCTATGGTTCCAGTTTTATGCAGGTCCGGTTTATTCATATTTAAACTCGCTGTGGGCTAAACGTGACGAAATACTTTCCTCCATTCATGAAAAACGTCATTCCCGCTCTCTCTCTCTCTCTCTCTCTCTCTCTCTCTCTCTCTCTCTCTCTCTCTGCCTCCCACTGTGTGTTTCTCTGGACATATGGATATAGAAAAACTGCCCCGGGCGGCGTTTTGATTGCCTGTTGTTGTGGAAACCTTTCCGAGAAATATGGCCTCGTCTGTTTTCTGATTATTTATAGAAATATTTGAAAAAGAAACAGAATATTTGAAGAATCCTGTGCCCAGAGGCGGCGAAAGAGTACAGTCAGACAAAAGGGATTAAAGTACTGCATCTGTGTACTACAAAACTGCACATACACAGTCTAGTCGTATGCTACTGCGACTACTATTCCTCCTAATACTGCTACTACAACTATTACAAGTTATTTGTAGTATAAGTACTACAAATAACACAACCACTACTAGTACTGCTTGCTGCTGCTACTATTACTACTACTTCTGCTACTAATGCAGCTACTAATTCTACTACTACCACAAGTAGTAAATAAGTAAGTAAAACTCTCTCAGCCTCTATCTTCCTCTCTCTCGTTTCTTTCTCTCTCTCTCTCCCTCTACTTTTCCCTTTCTCTGTCTCCCTCTCGTTCTCTTTCTGTCTCTATATCCTTCTCTGCTTCTCACTCTCTCTCCCTCTGTTTTTCTAGCTGCCTCTCTCTCTCGCTCTGTTTCTCTCTCGCTCTGTTTCTCACTCTCTTCCTCTCTTTCTATCTGTCTCTCTCGCTCTCTTGCTCGGTTTCTCTCTCTGCTTCTCACTCTCTCCCTCTTTTTCTACAGTATCCCCGCCCTCATGTGTGTCTGCCCCGCCCCCATGTGTGTCTGCCCCGCCCTCATGTGTGTCTACCCCGCCCTCATGTGTGTCTGCCCCGCCCTCATGTGTGTCGGCCCCGCCCCCATGTGTGTCTGCCCCGCCCTCATGTGTGTCGGCCCCGCCCTCATGTGTGTCGGCCCCGCCCCCATGTGTGTCTGCCCCACCCTCATGTGTGTCTACCCCGCCCTCATGTGTGTCGGCCCCGCCCTCATGTGTGTCGGCCCCACCCTCATGTGTGTCGGCCCCGCCCTCATGTGTGTCGGCCCCGCCCTCATGTGTGTCGGCCCCGCCCTCCTGTGTGTCTGCCCCGCCCTCATGTGTGTCTACCCCGCCCTCATGTGTGTCGGCCCCGCCCTCATGTGTGTCGGCCCCGCCCTCATGTGTGTCGGCCCCGCCCTCATGTGTGTCGGCCCCGCCCTCCTGTGTGTCTGCCCCGCCCTCATGTGTGTCGGCCCCGCCCTCATGTGTGTCGGCCCCGCCCTCATGTGTGTCGGCCCCGCCCTCCTGTGTGTCTGCCCCGCCCTCATGTGTGTCTGCCCCGCCCCCATGTGTGTCGGCCCCGCCCTCATGTGTGTCTGCCCCGCCCTCATGTGTGTCTGCCCCGCCCTCATGTGTGTCTGCCCCGCCCTCATGTGTGTCGGCCCCGCCCTCCTGTGTGTCTGCCCCGCCCTCATGTGTGTCTGCCCCGCCCTCATGTGTGTCTGCCCCGCCCTCATGTGTGTCTACCCCGCCCTCATGTGTGTCTACCCCGCCCTCATGTGTGTCTGCCCCGCCCTCATGTGTGTCGGCCCCGCCCTCATGTGTGTCGGCCCCACCCTCATGTGTGTCTGCCCCGCCCTCATGTGTGTCTGCCCCACCCTCATGTGTGTCTGCCCCGCCCTCCTGTGTGTCTGCCCCGCCCTCATGTGTGTCGGCCCCGCCCTCATGTGTGTCGGCCCCGCCCTCATGTGTGTCTGCCCCGCCCTCATGTGTGTCTGCCCCGCCCTCATGTGTGTCTGCCCCGCCCTCATGTGTGTCGGCCCCGCCCTCATGTGTGTCGGCCCCGCCCTCATGTGTGTCTGCCCCGCCCTCATGTGTGTCTGCCCCGCCCTCATGTGTGTCTGCCCCGCCCTCATGTGTGTCTACCCCGCCCTCATGTGTGTCTACCCCGCCCTCATGTGTGTCTGCCCCACCCTCATGTGTGTCGGCCCCGCCCTCATGTGTGTCTGCCCCGCCCTCATGTGTGTCTGCCCCGCCCTCATGTGTGTCTGCCCCGCCCCCATGTGTGTCTGCCCCGCCCTCATGTGTGTCGGCCCCGCCCTCATGTGTGTCTGCTCCGCCCTCATGTGTGTCTGCCCCGCCCTCATGTGTGTCTGCCCCGCCCTCATGTGTGTCGGCCCCGCCCTCATGTGTGTCTGCTCCGCCCTCATGTGTGTCTGCCCCGCCCTCATGTGTGTCTGCCCCGCCCTCATGTGTGTCGGCCCCGCCCTCCTGTGTGTCTGCCCCGCCCTCATGTGTGTCTGCCCCGCCCCCATGTGTGTCGGCCCCGCCCTCATGTGTGTCGGCCCCGCCCTCATGTGTGTCTGCCCCGCCCTCATGTGTGTCTGCCCCGCCCTCATGTGTGTCTGCCCCGCCCTCATGTGTGTCTGCCCCGCCCTCCTGTGTGTCTGCCCCGCCCTCATGTGTGTCGGCCCCGCCCTCCTGTGTGTCTGCCCCGCCCTCATGTGTGTCTGCCCCGCCCTCCTGTGTGTCTGCCCCACCCTCATGTGTGTCGGCCCCGCCCTCATGTGTGTCGGCCCCGCCCCCATGTGTGTCGGCCCCGCCCTCATGTGTGTCGGCCCCGCCCTCATGTGTGTCGGCCCCGCCCTCATGTGTGTCTGCCCCGCCCTCCTGTGTGTCTGCCCCACCCTCATGTGTGTCGGCCCCGCCCTCATGTGTGTCGGCCCCGCCCCCATGTGTGTCGGCCCCGCCCTCATGTGTGTCTGCCCCGCCCTCATGTGTGTCTACCCCGCCCTCATGTGTGTCTGCCCCGCCCTCATGTGTGTCTGCCCCGCCCTCATGTGTGTCGGCCCCGCCCTCATGTGTGTCGGCCCCGCCCTCCTGTGTGTCTGCCCCACCCTCATGTGTGTCTGCCCCACCCTCATGTGTGTCTACCCCGCCCTCATGTGTGTCTGCCCCGCCCTCATGTGTGTCTGCCCCGCCCTCATGTGTGTCGGCCCCGCCCTCATGTGTGTCTGCCCCGCCCTCATGTGTGTCGGCCCCGCCCCCATGTGTGTCTCCATTGTGTATCCATTCACTCTCTCATTTAGCACACAGAGGAAACCTGACGCAGACACGGGGAGAACATGCAAACTCCACTCAGAAAGGCCCTGTTCCGCCCGGCAAAAAATCTAAATCTTAAATCTATTAAATCTTTATTTTGGGTTCAGTTTCCTTTGGCCGCGTGACACATGTCCTCATTTGATCTTCTTTGTCTAACGTCTCCACTTCAGCCTCCGTGTGATGAAGACAGAACAAAACCAGGACTAAAATGGCGTAAGCGACACATGATGAAAACTAAAATGTGAATAAACTGGGTCAAAACGATCGCGTCGAAGCCAAACCTCCTCTGAAGTTGGAGAAAGTAGGCTGGCTAAGTAAGTAGCTAAGACTTAGCCTGGTCGTACCACACCATTGTACAAAGTTCATTTCGTACTTAGCTTTGGATTTTGCTCCGATGAGCTCCGTTAACAGGTGGGAGGGCTTAACCATTGGATATAAATTCACTGTGACGCTGGCATTTAGCATTTAGCCTAGCATTTAGCATTTAGCCTAGCTTTAACCATCTCCTTTGCCGCTAACGGAGCCCGAGGGGAGCAGAACCACAACATCTTTCCCAGCTATGACACTGGCTAAACGTCCCTCTTGCTCCAGCTTCATTTTCTTGATACTTGGAGCTGAACCAGAACGGATTACTTTACTATCGCATTCTCCGCCAACTCTCGACGTCACCGACACCGACCTACAACACCCGCCTCCCGCACTCGCTGATTGGTCGGAGGAGATTCAACCGAGCAGCCACTAGGTTCAGACCCAGACGTACATGTCGGAAATGATAATGGACCGGAGTTTATGGATAATATAGCTTCATTTGAAACACGTCTAAAATGTCTAGCTTTAGCCTGATGCAAAGCCAGTCTAAAATGTCTAGCTTTAGCCTGATGAAAAGCCAGTCTAAAATGTCTAGCTTTAGCCTGATGAAAAGCCAGTCTAAAATGTCTAGCTTTAGCCTGATGAAAAGCCAGTCTAAAATGTCTAGCTTTAGCCTGATGAAAAGCCAGTCTAAAATGTCTAGCTTTAGCCTGATGAAAAGCCAGTCTAAAATGTCTAGCTTTAGCCTGATGAAAAGCCAGTCTAAAATGTCTAGCTTTAGCCTGATGAAAAGCCAGTCTAAAATGTCTAGCTTTAGCCTGATGAAAAGCCAGTATAAATGTCTAGCTTAGCCTGATGCAACCAGTAAATGTCTAGCTTTAGCCTGATGCAGCCAGTATAAAATGTCTAGCTTTAGCCTGATGAAAGCCAGTCTAAAATGTCTAGCTTTAGCCTGATGAAAAGCCAGTCTAAAATGTCTAGCTTTAGCCTGATGAAAAGCCAGTCTAAAATGTCTAGCTTTAGCCTGATGAAAAGCCAGTCTAAAATGTCTAGCTTTAGCCTGATGAAAAGCCAGTATAAAATGTCTAGCTTTAGCCTGATGCAAAGCCAGTCTAAAATGTCTAGCTTTAGCCTGATGCAAAGCCAGTATAAAATGTCTAGCTTTAGCCTGATGCAAAGCCAGTCTAAAATGTCTAGCTTTAGCCTGATGAAAAGCCAGTCTAAAATGTCTAGCTTTAGCCTGATGAAAAGCCAGTCTAAAATGTCTAGCTTTAGCCTGATGAAAAGCCAGTCTAAAATGTCTAGCTTTAGCCTGATGCAAAGCCAGTCTAAAATGTCTAGCTTTAGCCTGATGAAAAGCCAGTCTAAAATGTCTAGCTTTAGCCTGATGCAAAGCCAGTCTAAAATGTCTAGCTTTAGCCTGATGCAAAGCCAGTCTAAAATGTCTAGCTTTAGCCTGATGAAAAGCCAGTATAAAATGTCTAGCTTTAGCCTGATGCAAAGCCAGTCTAAAATGTCTAGCTTTAGCCTGATGAAAAGCCAGTCTAAAATGTCTAGCTTTAGCCTGATGAAAAGCCAGTCTAAAATGTCTAGCTTTAGCCTGATGCAAAGCCAGTCTAAAATGTCTAGCTTTAGCCTGATGAAAAGCCAGTCTAAAATGTCTAGCTTTAGCCTGATGCAAAGCCAGTCTAAAATGTCTAGCTTTAGCCTGATGCAAAGCCAGTCTAAAATGTCTAGCTTTAGCCTGATGAAAAGCCAGTGTAAAATGTCTAGCTTTAGCCTGATGAAAAGCCAGTCTAAAATGTCTAGCTTTAGCCTGATGAAAAGCCAGTCTAAAATGTCTAGCTTTAGCCTGATGAAAAGCCAGTCTAAAATGTCTAGCTTTAGCCTGATGAAAAGCCAGTCTAAAATGTCTAGCTTTAGCCTGATGAAAAGCCAGTCTAAAATGTCTAGCTTTAGCCTGATGAAAAGCCAGTCTAAAATGTCTAGCTTTAGCCTGATGAAAAGCCAGTCTAAAATGTCTAGCTTTAGCCTGATGAAAAGCCAGTATAAAATGTCTAGCTTTAGCCTGATGAAAAGCCAGTCTAAAATGTCTAGCTTTAGCCTGATGAAAAGCCAGTCTAAAATGTCTAGCTTTAGCCTGATGCAAAGCCAGTCTAAAATGTCTAGCTTTAGCCTGATGCAAAGCCAGTATAAAATGTCTAGCTTTAGCCTGATGCAAAGCCAGTCTAAAATGTCTAGCTTTAGCCTGATGAAAAGCCAGTCTAAAATGTCTAGCTTTAGCCTGATGAAAAGCCAGTCTAAAATGTCTAGCTTTAGCCTGATGAAAAGCCAGTCTAAAATGTCTAGCTTTAGCCTGATGCAAAGCCAGTATAAAATGTCTAGCTTTAGCCTGATGCAAAGCCAGTCTAAAATGTCTAGCTTTAGCCTGATGAAAAGCCAGTCTAAAATGTCTAGCTTTAGCCTGATGCAGTGGCGGCCGGCCAATAGAGGGCGCTAGCGCGCCGCCCCACCACTCACAACTTGCCATGTTACCTTGAATAAAACGTTAAAAAAAATAATAACATTAAAATATTTCGAAATGTATGTGTGTTTTATTTCAGATGTGGAAGAAATACTTTATAGTTTATGCTGAGTTGGATTGATTAAGCTCATCAGCGTTGTCTGTGTCGGACTGAGGACGTATTTCCGCCTCAGGGCGCAAAAGATTGCGCCCTGAGCCGTCTATGGACTCTCGTTAAAAGTTGTACATGCGCAGTAGCTCCTCTTCAATGCAAGAGATAAGACGATTTGGGGGCGCAGGAGAAGTGCGCCCTGAGGGGGCGGGATCGCCCGCGACCTGTACTGTCACTGTCTGTGACGTCCGTTTACAGTGATTGACAGGTCAAGCTGTGGGAATTTGAGACGAACGTAAAGAGACGCAAAATGGAGAACGAGAAAAAGAATAATTCAGTTAGATCACTCAAAACAATACAGTTTGAGAGAAGATCATACCAGGAGAAGGTTGAGGTTAAAGAGCTTGGACCTGATCAGCCAAATATTACCATTAGTCAGCAGTCCAGCGACAGGGGGAGACGGTACACTCGTACTTTTTCCAGGACCTGGTTCAGCGCCAAATCTTGGCTAGCAGCATGTAGCGAGGCTAATGCTTTATTTTGCTTTCCATGCCTCTTGTTTCAAACATCAGGATCTGACCCAGCATGGATCAAGACAGGTATGACTGATCTGAAGCACTTTTTAGAAAAGGCAAAGAAGCATGAGCAGACTGGTATCCACATGCAAAATTCCCTCAAATTAGCTATGTTTGGGAAGATAAATATTTCATCCCAGCTGGATGAAAGCTACAGGGTAGGGATCAGAAAGCACAATGAGGAGGTTGACAAGAATAGGCACATCCTATCAAAAATAATAGACTGTGTCAAATTCTGTGGTGCATTTATATCTAGTCATCATATTCATGGCCCCCCCAGTAGAAAATTCCACCAGCCGCCACTGGCCTGATGCAAAGCCAGTCTAAAATCTCTAGCTTTAGCCTGATGAAAAGCCAGTCTAAAATGTCTAGCTTTAGCATAAGAAGTAAGCTTTATATTTTGCATAATACCATGAACAAAAACGTATGCAAAGCTCTGTACTATTCTTTCGTCCTCCAAAACAATCCACTTTGTTTACGTTGATTTCAGCTCCATTATGAAACGATTCTGAACCGACAAACGCATAAATGAAAGTCTGTGTTCCGCTTTGCTTCCCGTTCATTCTTTTCAACCCTCATTCAGACGCAGAGAACTTGAAAGCAACAGACTTTGGCGCGTGGCTGGGGGGGGGAAGATTTGCCAAAACATTTGACAAACGGCGGTAAATTTGGCCGTCGTTCAGAGTGAGGATAATTATCTTTCTCGGCCTCTTTCTCTCGCTCCCCTCACAATCAGTGCTTGCTCTCCCAATTTCATCAACTCAAACAGGAAGCTCATGCGCTGGCTTTCGCTCCATCAAGAGAAAGTCTCGCAAGAAACAAAAAAAAAAAATCACTCGGCGGTAATTAAATTATACCGAGTGGCGACGGCAGAAAAGGCTCAGACGAAAATATTATACAAGCGTCGTGGCAATAACAATAGGGGCAGGAAGCGCCGCTCTGTCCTGCAGCAGCATTAGCACTTTATTGGTGCAGAGATATTGGGAGTTTTGAGGAGAAAATGTGGTTTATTAGCTAAAAAAATACTAGAACAGACGGAGGCGCTGGAACAACAAAACTGCGAAAGAATTAATTAGTGTGAAATGGGTGGTTTTGTCTGAGTTCAAAGCAGAACAGTCGACTTTATTCTGGAGTCGGGAACCCGGGAGAAAGAGTCCAATCATGTTTGTTTTGTAAAGAGAAAATCATACAGGAAGTAGTCCCCAGCAGCAACTCTGTTTCTCTCTCTCTCTCTCTGTCTCTCTCTCTCTCTGTTTCTCTGTGTCTCTCTCTCTGTCTGTCTCTCTGTCTCTCTTTGTCTCTCTGTGTCGCTTTCTCGGTCTCTCTCTCTGCGTCTCTCTGTCTCTCTCTCTGTGTCTCTCTCTGCGTCTCTCTGTCTCTCTCTCTGTATCTCTCTCTGCGTCTCTCTGTCTCTCTCTCTGTCTCTCTCTCTGCGTCTCTCTGTCTCTCTCTCTGTCTCTCTCTGTCTGTATCTCTCTCGCCGTGGCCATGGTGCCGTGGCAGGACTCTGGTAAACACGTCTGCGCAGGTTTTCCAATGGTTTTACTGCAAAAGGCAAAAGACCTGGATCCTGAATGACCTCTTTGCCTCACATGGCAGCTGGAACTAAAGGTAAAGAGGGTTTGAGCTTTCTTTAAATCAAATATTACATAGTTCCACCGCTTTTTTTAAGTCTAATGTAGAAGTTCAAAAGCAGCCATGGTAATGTAAGATTAAGAGAGAAATCCTCTATGGGAATATAAAGGAAGATAAATTAAATACAAATCTCTAATTTTAGGGAGCACAGAAACCTCTTGAGGAGCAGAAGGGCAAAAGCTTGAATTATCTTGATTTTCAGTATGAATACAGATCGTGAAAGCGGGGCCTCACGATCCTTCTGACTTTTTGGGTTTTAAGCAGGAGGTGTCAGAAAAGTGACCACAAGGATAACGGGCTCATGGCGGCCAAGCGTTCATAGCGACGCCGCTTTTTGATCCTTCGATGTCGGCTCTTCCTGTCATTGTGAAGCAGACTTCATCAAGTGTTGGATTGTTCACCCACTAATAGGGAACGTGAGCTGGGTTCAGACCGTCGTGAGACAGATTAGTTTCACCCAACTGATTAGTTTTACACTATGGTAAATGGTGAAAAGACACAGACTGGTTGCCTCTCTTCTGTCAGTGTGCCCCAGGGCAGTTGTGACTAGTAATAGTAGTATTTTATTACCACTGTGTTTTGAGGGAATGAGGACATGTGAAGTGTTTTAAAGTGTCCTGCAAAGATATCAAATTAATTCAGTAGTAGTAGTAGTAGTTGTAGTAAGTAGTAGTAGTAGTAGTAGCAGTAGCAGTAGTCCAAGTCAAACCACTCTTCTCTTGACTCTTCTTCTTCGTGTCTTTCCCCTTCTGCTGCTGTGCACACATGGCAGGGTAAACACTGGTGAGTCTGTGGAACCCAAAGTGAAGCCAAATGTGAGTCTGGCACAGGGAGCGAGCAGCGGCTATAACCAGAGCACTGATCCACTCGGAGCTGGCCCCATCCACTCCCACATCCAGGTCCAAAAAGTCCCACACGCCTTTCATTTCGTCTGGCTCTTTCAATCTGAAGACGCTCTTGTTCCATCAATCATATTTTAAAGCTTTTTGTATCGGTTTGTATGTACATACATTAGGATGAGATGAAGTTGATTGCCTGCGTTCAGTCGGCCTGATGAACTGAAACAAAAACACTGATCAGGTCGTTAAGAAGCTCGTCAGCGTCTCTTCTTTCTGCGGAAACGTTGATAGTTTGCTTGATGGTTCTGTGACTGTGGGGAGAGACCAGAGAGAGACCAGAGAGAGACCAAAGAGCGAGACCAGAGAGAGAGACACCAGAAAGAGAGACCAGAGATAAACCAGAGAGAGGCCAAAGAGAGACCAGAGAGAGACCAAGATTGAGGGAGACCAGAAAAAGAGAGACCAGAGATAGAGAGAGAGAGAACAGAGAGAGACCAGAGAGAGAGAGAGACCAGAAAGAGAGAGACCAGAGAGAGAAAGAGAGAACAGAGCGAGATCAAAGAGAGAGAGTGAGCAGAAAGAGAGAGAGACTAGAGATAGAGAGAGAGAGAACAGAGAGAGAGGCCAAAGAGAGACCAGAGAGAGAGACCAGAAAGAGAGAGACCAGAGAGAGAGACCAGAGAGAGAAAGAGAGAACAGAGAGAGACCAGAAAGAGAGAGAGACCAGAGAGAGAAAGAGAGAACAAAGAGAGACCAGAGAGAGAGACCAGAGATATACCAGGGAGAGAGGCTAAAGGAAGACCAGAGACAAACCAGAGAGAGAGGCCAAAGAGAGACGAGAGTGAGACCAGAGATATACCAGAGAGAGAGGCTAAAGACAGACCAGAGAGAGAGGCCAAAGAGAGACCAGCGATATACCAGGGGAGAGAGAGACCAGAGATATACCAGAGAGAGAGGCCAAAGAGAGACCCGAGAGAAAGACAACAGAAAGAGAGACCAGAGAGAGACCAGAGAGAGAGGCCAAAGAGAGACCAGCGATATACCAGGGGAGAGAGAGACCAGAGAGAGAGACCAAAGAGAGACCAGAGAGAAAGACAACAGAGAGGAAGACCAGGGAAAAAGAGACCAGAAGGAGACCAGAGAAATACCAGATGAAGACCAGAGAAAGAGAGACCAGAGAAAAGAGACAAGAGAGAGATACCAGCGAGAGATACCACAGAGATACCAGAGAGAGACCAGAGAGAGAGAGAGCGGAGAAAGACCAGAGAGAAAGAGACCAAATAAACTGAATCTGCATTATAATCTAGCTTTTTGCTCTGGATTGTTATCTGGGATATGCTGATCGCGTTGGTCTTCACGATGGTCTCTGGGATGGTCTTTGGGTTAGCAAGGCAGAGGGCCACACAAAATGACACCGAGGGCCGCAATTGGCCCCCGGACCTGAGTTGCCTGACATGCCTGGTGTAATCTGTGCCTTACTTTATTGTTTTCCTTATCTAAAGCTTGTTATTGCATCATATCAGACGAGTTCAGACTGAGACCCTGTATTTCACAGATGCTGCTGCTAAATGTGAGCAAACTTTGCTTCAGGCTTTTGTGCCCAATTTGGAAAAAGAAAACAAAAAAAATTGGGAGATTTCCTCCGCTCGACCGGGTCTGCTCACTCTCCCAGGTGCGGCGATTGTGCAGAACACACGTCATGCGAGTAATGTCATAATAATGGATGCCTGGGCGGTCGTGTTTCGCAGATATATGTACGATTTTATGCATTGGATCTCGGTGCGCAGCTGGGGGACATTAAAAATGGATGGGTTCGAATCACAACAACAACATGGGCCTTTCAAATCACAGATCAGAGAGAGAAGAGAGAGAAGAGAGAGGAGAGAGAGGGGAGAGAGGAGAGAGCGGGGAGAGGGTCGTGTGTGTTTCGACTTATGTAACAAAGTAGAATCATCCAGAAGACACATTGAATAACTGGTCTAATTTGGAGTATATGTTTGCTTGTTGGTGAGAGAGACCAGGGAAAGAGACAGAGACATCAGAGGTGGAGAGAGCAGAGAGAGAGCAGAGAGAAAGAGCAGAGAGAGAGGCAAGGGAAAGAGAGAGAGATCGGAAAGAGAGAGTGATCAGAGGGCCAGAGAGCAGAGAGAGAGAGAGCAGAGAGAGACCAGGGAGAGACTAGAGAGAGACCAGAGAGAGACGGGATAGAGACCAGAGAGAGACTCGAGAGAGACCAGAGAGTGGAAATGGGCAAGTCTAACCGGTGCTTGCCTTGGCGAAAAAATAGAGGGAGAGAGGGAGCAGACATAGACCAGATAGAAAAACCAGAGAGAGACCAGAGCGAGGCTGGAGAGAGAGCAGAGAGAGTCCAGAGAGAGACTAAAGAGAGACCAGAGAGAGACTAGAGAGAGAGCAGAGAGAGACTAGAGAGAGAGCAGAGAGAGACTAGAGAGAGAGCAGAGAGAGACTAGAGAAAGACCAGAGAGAGACCAGAGTAAGACTAGAGAGAGACCAGAGTAAGACTAGAGAGAGACTAGAGAGAGACTAGAGAGAGACAAGAGAGAGAGCAGAGAGAGACTAGAGAGAGAGCAGAGAGAGACTAGAGAAAGACCAGAGAGAGACTAGAGAAAGACCAGAGAGAGACCAGAGTAAGACTAGAGAGAGACCAGAGTAAGACTAGAGAGAGACTAGAGAGAGACTAGAGAGAGACCAGAGAGTGAAAATGGGCGCATCTAGACGATACTTGCCTTGGCATAAATAAATCTCTCTCCCTCTTCATCGTTGAAAATGCCACTGACATGAATTTTAACTCTCCAGCGGTCGATTCTGAGTTTATCATCCGACTCTGAAGAGACTGTCGACCTTGCGATGAGACCAGATGGCTCCTACTCACGTCCTTATTTTCACTCTCTCAAAAAAAAGTCCAGTTTTTCAAAGTGGTCCGTGGGCAGTTTGTATTACATGCATTCTGTTTGATAATTCTTGAGTAGCAGCGCCTGTTGAGGTCTCCCCAAGGCTACCCAACCCAACTGCAGAGTTCAGCTCAAAAAAGGCTCTCCAGAATGTCCAAGTACTAGTCAGGCCTTGAGAAGTGCAAGATGACCCAAAAAAGTAGCTCAGGAAATCACTTGGGGAAACTTTTTAAAAAACCCTTATCTTGGCTTGGAGAATGGAAATATATGCATGTGTGAATTTGATGAACAAGTTTGTGAGCGATCCCAGAGGATTCACGTCAGACGGTGGAGAGTTTTGGTGCAGAGGAGTTGCGCAAGGCAGATTAGAATTTGACAATAGCAGCAGAAATACTTACCAGAGCCAGACAGGTATCGGATGGAGAGAGAGATAGAGAGACCATAGAGAGACCAGAAATATTGAGACCAAAGAGGGAGAACAGAGGGGGGTGGGAAGACAGAGGAACCAGAGAGAGAGAGACTAGAGAGAGAGAGAGAGAGACCAGAGATAGACAGACTAAAGAGACAAGAGACTAGACAGTGAGTGAAAGACCACTCTCTCTAGTCTGTCCGCGTTGGAAGTAGCTCGTTTGTGTTTGGCGGAGTATATATTTTTGCGTGGTAAGGGGGTGACTATCTCTATAAAGTATCTGAACCATAATGACACCACCACAGAAACGTCAGATCGTGGGTATGTGGTCTCCGAGAGGCCGAGAGGGAGGAGAGAGAGAGAGAGAGAGAGAGAGAGGCCAAGCGTTTGTGGGTAAATCTTTGAAGCAGTGACATTTGGAAATATCGTTGCATTTATTTAATGAAAGCCAAAGTCAGGGTCCTGAATTAACCAAAAAATGTCATAAGTCATTGGCCAGACAGGTACCGGATGGAGAGGGTTTCAGAGAGAGAGAGCAGAGAGAGATGGACTAGAGAGAGAGAGAGGGGGGGGGGGGGGGGGGAAAGAGAGAAAGAGAGACCAGAGATAGACAGACTAAAGAGACAAAGACTAGAGACAGACCAGAGATGGGGACCAGAGAGAGAGACCAGAGAGAGACCAGAAAGAGAGAGACCAGAGAGGAAGGGACTAGAGAGAGACCAGAGAAGGAGACCAGAGAGAGACCAGAGATGGAGACCAGAGAGAGACCAGAGATGGAGACCAGAGATAGACCAGAGAAGGAGACCAGAGAGAGACCAGAGATGGAGACCAGAGAGAGACCAGAGATGGAGACCAGAGAGAGACCAGAGAAGGAGACCAGAGAGAGACCAGAGATGGAGACCAGAGAGAGACCAGAGAGAATGACATAATAGACCATGGCTCCGTCCTCAGGGCGACAGTAGCTCAGTTGGTAGAGCATTGGCCTTAAGGCCAGAAGGTTGTGGGTTCAATTCCCACCTCTGCACCTTCTCCACCGACTCCCACTGATGACTGCTGTCGTTGTGTCCTTGGGCAAGACACTTAACCCCACTTTGCCCAAAAGCCCCCACTGAAAGATCAAGGCTCTGCTCACACTCAGAGCAGCCGTCCTCCTGTGGACTCACCACCTGCAGAGGGTCAGTGAGGGGCTGGTGCTATGAGACTTGGGTGGCATCTCTGACTGCCACCCCCCTGACCCAGAAATGGATTAAAGGGTAGAAAATGGATGGATGGATGGATGGCTCCGTCCTCATGAAGTCATCTTCAAGGGGGAGGTTTCATCAGATTCAGACTAATGTTTTTTCTTTCCCCAATGGTTGAATATGCCTCCTCCTCTCCTCTTACCTGTTGTGCTACATAATTATACATGACTTTCTTCTTGTTCGTCGTTCTCAGCAGATTGTGCGGTCTACATATCAAAGGCGTGCGGGCAGAAACATGAGGCGGGTTAGTTCAAAGCCTGTCACAAAGAAATTACAACGAAACAAAAGGAAAGATGGAGCAGCTCCAGTGCGGTTACACCACAATCGGTGTATGTACTGTACGTACTGTTGCCATAGCGATTTACAAATACATACATGCATTTTATAGAGAGACCAGAGAGAGATGTGCAAGAGGGAGACTAGAGAGAGCCATGAAGAGAAGGAGAAAGAGAGACTGGAGGGAGAGAGAATAAAGAGAGTGATGGCAGAGAGGGAGACTATAGAGACAGAGAGAGAGAGAGAGAG